GGTCTTCAGTTTGTTGTCATTTCCGGCAAGTTTACGAATCTCATTATTGTTCGAAGACCACGAAAGAAGGTTGAAACCACAAGAACTCATTAGTTGATTGGATTGTTTGTAGTATTGTATGGCGTCGGATTCAGACGTACTGCCGGTTATGACGTCATCTACATATATGTTCTGTTTCAAATCGGAATAGGTTGGAATGTCCGAATTTGCTTCCATCTGCGTTTTGACTACGGCATTCAAAATGAAAGACGAACACACAGCGCCGAATAAAACCGATTTGAATCGGTAAGTGACGAATTCGCTCTCGATATCTCGTGGATTAGAACGCCACAAGAACTTTGTAAACTTTCGTTCATTAGGTTCAAGACGTATTTGGAGAAAAGATTTTTCAATGTCACTTGTCAATGCGATAGAATTTGCGCGAAATCGTAGTACTATCGAGGTGAGGTCGTTGAGTAATGGAGGCCCGGTCATTAGGCAATCATTTAGGCTAGGGGAATCAGCGTTCTTCTTACAACTACAATCGTATACAATACGAATTGGCGTGGTCTCGGAATCTTTTTTGACGGATCGATGTGGCAAGTAATGACCACATGCACTGTTATCGTTCTTAACGACCTCAATGAAGCCTTGTTTTTCTTGATCGGTAATTATTCTATCGTAAATGTCAACAACATTTGGTGGTGGACGGCGAATCATGGATCGCGTTCGCGAATTCGAAACGTTGTAGTTCGTAGGTAGTGGAGCGTGGTCTGATTTCCATGGTAACTTAGCAACAAAATGATTGTCCTCTCGGCGCAGGTGAGTATCGCGATACGACTTAAATTCGGTTTCCTTTGTAGGCGTGTTATCGGAGCATATATCATCTTTGATGCCGATGGACTCAAGGTCCCAGTATGAAGTGATAGCAATGTCAGTTTTGTAAGTGTCAGTCATTACGTGTAGCACATTAGCAGCAGCGGTAGATTTCCCATTATGTTTAGGACCAGATAACAAGTAACCGAAAGAAGATGACACGGCTGTAGGGCCTTTACCACGTATAACTTCGTCTCCGACGAAATTCCAGTAGTAGTCGGCACCGATTAAAATGTCGATGTTGTAACAAGTGTCATTAGAAACCGGGTGAGCTAGGCGTAGCCCTTTCAGATATGGAAGTGTCAATAGTTCGTAATCGACGTGATTGGACATCAAAGTCGATATCTCTGGTATGAGCAATGCGTCAATTTCCGCTTTGTTGCCGGAAATGGTATGCAGATCGAATGTCCCCTTTTTCATTGAGCGTATGCGTGTATGTTTGTTTCCAAATGAAGCAAGATCAATGCTTTCGGAACGCGTAGCGTGTATTTTGTCGGCGAAACTTCCAGTAACAAATGTGCGATTAGCTCCCTCGTCAAATAGTACAGTAGCGGAGACAATAGTTCCATTATTGACAGAAACGGGTATTTTAGCAGTTTTGAGTAGGACCGGCTCTTTTGGCGCAAAGTTCAGGGTTGAAGTAAAATGTACACGAGTATTATTTCCATTTGTATTAGATCCATTTGTAGGTATGCTAGTAGGATTTCCATTATTGGCCGTATAAACCGGTGTATTATATCCAGTGGCCGAATCTGCAGGTAATCCAGAATTGTGACGAGTATCCCCACTGGGATTAGATCCATTTGTGGCGCTGCTATTATTTCTTGGGTTACTGCCGTTATATCCATGAATGTGAAGCGATGAGTGATGCTTACGTTGACAGTGTCTGCAGGCGTGTTTCGATGCACAGTTTCCAACGAGATGCTTAGCTAAACAATTATAACACAGTTTGTCTCGGCGTACGATCTCCAAACGGCGCTTCGCGTCTGTAACAACCGTACATTCGGAAGGCGAATGCGATCCTTTGCAGTAGGCGCAAAGGCGTTTCGGACGAGCTGATTTCTGCCCTCGCGTCGTAGTGTGAAAGGTAGCAGTAATCGTGGGTTGATTTGTTAAAATGCTATTGTTACCAACCTGACTTATCTTAATTTCGGTGAGTATGGCTTTTCGGAGATCGGGTAGGTTCCAAGCGACATCTCCACGTGCCCTTGCTAGTAGACGTTGTATTTCAGTCGGCAGTTTTTCTAGAATCATGGGTACAAGAAGTTTTCCGTATGAGTTCTCGTCTTCACCCAGTGCATGTAGACCGCGAACATGGGATTCGAGCGAGTCGTAGAAGTGACGGAGACTTGTGGCATCTTCCGTCGGCGTTGGTAGTTCCCACAGTGATTTCATGTGGGCACTGATTATGACTTGTTTCTGTCCATACCTTTCCCTGAGTAATGTCAAAGCGCTAGCGTAGTTGGCATCAGTAAGATCAAGTCCTTCAATTGTGCGTGCGGCTTCACCTGTCAGAAGGCTTCGCAGATAGGTGAACTTCTGGATATTGTCAAGTGTTCCATCGTTATGTATGGCAGCATTGAATGTATCATTGAAACTAACCCATTTTAGTGTATCTCCCGCAAATGTCTGTAATTCGAGTTTCGGTAGTTGAACGGCTCTTCGTTGAGCGGATGATTGCGCGGAGATTTGCTTTCCGGCGATAAACGAGGCATTCGCAGCTTTTTTCAGTGTAGAGGGGTCGCGTGACTCGAGAAATTGTCCGATTAGTTCTTTTCTCTCGGAGATCTGAATCTCATAGTCGTCTGTCTCTTCTATGTCGCTGCTCAGATCGGGGTCTTGAGTTGCGTTGAAAATTTGTTCATCAGTAGCGATGAGTCTTGCATATCTATCTTGAACAAGTTTGTATGTTGCTCGAAGCGTGGCATAGGCTTTAGTTTTGTCAACCTCAGCGTCATATTGTCCGATTTCTGCTTCTGCCTTTTTGAAGATCTTCGTAAGTTGAGCACGGCAAACTGTGCGTTTCTTTTTGAGATCAGGCAATGGATCTGTCGCTTCAACTGGATTCTGGGCTGGATCTGGCATTATCCTGGTCTCGGCACCAAAAATGTGGGAAGTCGTATTTTTGGACGTAATATTCTTTATAATACCAGCAGTCCAGCAATCAGACAAGACAAGTACTTTCAAGAGTAGAACACAAGTTGTTTATTCGTGAACATAACATAGAAGAGCCCTGAAACAATTACAATGAATGCTTAAATACCCTCGTGGGGATTCTGAATTCGAGCGGGAAAACTAGATACAAATATACAATACTGTGATTGGTCAATACAAATATTGTGGTGTTGCCTCTCACGTTCGCTCATAGCACAGTGTTCAAGGTCGTATCCCGTTTTGTTACATTCAAGCTTTAGGCGGTACAAACGATGTATATAACAGTATAATAATATAACACGATACACAATATCAGTAAAAATAGTAAACAATAATTCTATCCATATCTATTTCCGACAATAGCCGTCATTTATTTTCTTTCGTCCAATGAAGTGGTTTATCTTGCAACTTTCTTTTTTATGTAATAAAATTTACGTGAAATCTTTTAAATTTGGTTCAGTTGAACTGTCTATAGCCCTGGATCTCCGAATCATAATAATAATAATAATAATAATAATAACTTTATTACACAACTGTACCATCAATGGGTGCTGTATGGTAAGGATACAGATCAGAAAAAACAAACACAAATAAACAAAAACAACAAAAGTTTCAAAATTACAAACAAATCAAAGGGTATATATAAAATACGTATTACAATTAGGTTTTATAAATTGTATTTTTTAAGTATTTTGCCATGCGTATCGT